AATCTAGCCAAATATTGAAGACCTACGTATTTCCAACGACCTGCATGCGATATGAAATAATGAAAATGAGGCATAAGAAACAAATATATCTCCAATAAAGACAAAAATGATAAAAATGAGTGACTGCAGTGTTCATTTGATCCAATTTTTCACTTAACTCAAGAGTTAAAAGGTAGAATGGATTGAAGCACTTTTATGATGACCACTTGTCCTGGAAAAACAAGATTCAATTGCTGCATTGTCTGAATGATTCAAGAAAGGTTTTTTCTTATCTATAAAGACAAATTTTCCAAGCTCTAAACATATTCGTATAAATTTGATTTATTTCAACATGAGATTACAGAATATATATATTCAACAACTTTGCGACAAGAAATTCTATGCCATTGTTTCAACAATTCAGAAAAAATCAACAAAAAAAGAAAGAAAAACAACAATATGGACAGCAGTCATCTTTTCACATGACGCGACTTCCCTTTGTCACTTCTTTAACTAACCGTTTCTCGACAAACTTGCGCTGAAATAAATATAGTTACCAATTAAGAAAAATTTATTTAATTAATTCAAAAGATGATTTTCTTCTTTTTCCACATTTCGTAAAACATTTGGACTATCATGGAAAGTGGGTAAAACTGGAGCTTACCTTCAATTTTGTCTTCAGCTTATTCTTATTCTTGGGTCCACCTATAGGTAACATATTCCTCTTCTGTAAACTTGCTATTCGATCGTTTAGTACATGACCCTGCGGCTTCAGCTTACGTAGACTGTCCGATAACTCCTCCTGCAAAATGAGAGATCTTTGACAATTTCGATTCCACGGATAGTACTTATACCTTCAACAAGAACGGTTCTTCTTCATCCTTGAACTCTCCGCCTCCTAATTTTTGTCGAGTAGTCATCTGAAAAGGAAGTTTTGCGATGATACCGAAAAAACGGAGGGGAAGATTTAAAATATGTTCACCTTTTTTAAGAACTTCTCTTTCTTTCGCTTGGCGGCATTCTCTGCTATTTCTTGCTCTGTGCGTGCCAACTCCTTGTTAAAACTCTTTGCTCTGTAAGTGGGATAATTCTAACTGCAAGACCAAGACAACATGGAGAAAATGGCCAAATTACTTGTAAATGTCATGTTGCTTCTTCTCAACTTCTTTCCTTCGCTTTTGTTCGCGAAGGAGCTT